CATCTTGATTGCCACCAAGAAAAAGACAAGAGTATTCAGCAGTTAGCTGTGGCTCAAACACTGGGGCTCCAGCATGGTAGTTCACACCTCCAGGTTTATTGTCATCGAAGTGCAACGTTGAAGTGATGCACTCCTATATTTACGGAATGATATGGAACGGTGAATACATTTTTACATGCCTCAATCATCCTCAATCTGACTTGGTTCGACACTACTAGTATCTTTTGAACGTGTCTGCTAATCTACTCTATGACTCTATGGCTTCTTTTCGGTGTTGAACCACATCATGCACAATAGAGTACAAGCACGCCAATCCCATACTTGTGGCTTGAGAGTCTAGTGATGAAATCATTCTAAACTCTCCCGACAAAGCCAAATGTGGAGGTTGTTTGACCATTACACAGTGTGGCAGACTGCTTTTTAGCCTGGATGGCCCGATCATCTCTGTCTCCAAGATAGTGAAAGCTTCCAAGGCCTGGTCCTGAGAGGCATGGTCAGGCTACAGGTACTCCATGTGACAACTATTCGTCATCACTGTTGAAACATTGCTGAACAACCACAAAATGAGAAGTGATCTTGAAATATCCCTATTCAAAGCAACCAACGTTGTTGGCGCTTCTTCACTACAAACATTAAATAGATATATATATATATATGTATAATATATATATAATATATATATATAATATAGTATATATATAATGACATCGCAAAACACATAGATCGGGTTTGGTCCGCTGTCATCACACTCTCTTCCTCCAAAGGGCTTGAGTTTAGCCCAGGCTCAAGTCGGCATCGCTATTTCCACGGGTTCCACCATTTGAACATGTTGGGGTCGATCTTCAGCAATTGCAAAACGAACTTTTCAAATTCATTCCACAAAAAGATGGCCCTTGACTAAGCTGGTTTGTGGGTTGATGTCGACATTGTGTTGATTGCAAAGGTTTGTCACACCAGGTTCGAGTTTGCTTGACACAACTTATTTCGGCATTGTCCTCATTCTTCCTGTCAAAGGCTTTGGTTAGCCCAGATTGATCAAGCATCCTTTCTCTTTTCCAGAAACATATACCCAATGCCTTTCAGCTGTCTTGTCCAGGTAGAAGCGTACACTTGCAGAAGCACACGGTTCTTAGCACCATCCACATAGCTTGGCCTATGGCTGTCTTTATGTTGCAATCGCATCTTGCTGAGAGTGTGGGTGAAGGGCTGTTCTTGCCTCCTCTTCAGAGCAGGCGCTGCCAAAATATGTTTGACATCCAGCATGGTGTCGGGCTCTTTCACTTTGCCCCAACGTCTGAGCAGCTGCATCTCTTTTCCAACACATGTTTTTCTTTTCATCTGCATCGTTCAAAAAGGCCTCTGTCTACCTCACATCCTCTCAAGCTGCTGATGCTTCTGCACCTGTTCAGAGTCCTCAAATGTTCCTTTGGCCAAATTCTTCAGGCTCTTGGTGGCGTCATGCAACTTGACCTTCCTCTTCTCCACAGAGCCCATTGTGGAGAAAGCTTTAGAAAGCTCCCAAAGCCCGAATCTGTCTCTCCCTTGCTCGCTCGCTCTTTCGTCTTGAGCTTCAGGCCATATGTTGCCGCAAGTCAAGGGCTTGCCGCAAAAGAACAGGGCCCGTGTGCGCCTCGGGAAACCATCGCAAAGAGAGAACGGCCCATGGGTGTCTCAGCATGGGCATTCCTTCAAACAATGGGCTTCACTCCAATTACTCGACTCTACTTCCCTTCTCAAGCGATGCACTCTTCCCATATTCAAACCATCTGGACGAGTTCTTTCCTGGACAGAACAAGGGGTAAGTTCCAAACAAGCAAATCTCAGAGAGAAATTGCTCGTAATAAATCAATGCGTGCAGGGAGTGAGTAACCAGCAACAGGCTCCAAATCTTCTTGTGAGAGCTGCAAGCTTATGCTTGTATTCCCACTAGGCTGTTCGACAAAGCATGCGCAAACGATTTCATGATGGGGCACAATTTGGCCTCATGACCCTGTCCAATGGCTCAGCAACCCTCAAAACAAGTCCACCTTGTAGACCGCAGAGTTCACATGACTGTTTAGTACAATGAAACAGGTGCTGTATAGATACATGCAGCCCTACAACCCAGCACTCAATCGGGCGGCTCTCCTTTAACACACGCTCACATCGGAAAAAAACACACAACAACATTATATTATATACAAGTTGAGTCTGCCGTGCCTCTGGTTCCCGCAGCACAGCACACAGCAGGAGCATCTGGCCATCTGCGCCTGGTCAACCATTCTATTCTAATTCTTTATGCCAACTGGTTGAGTCAAACCAACCCAGAACGCACAAAAAAGGCCACAGGGGTAATGAGCATTACCTTCAGGACGTGTATGACGTGACGCGTCCAAAGCATCCGTTGGCAGTCAGTGATGGGTATGATTGTCCAACATGGGTACTCCAACGTGTTGAACCGACATCCCGGATACCAACTGATACCATCTGATACCCATATTCATCAGTAAACAACATCCAAAGCATTCACTGATATTCACAGATATCGAAACTGCTTCGGATCCGGACTTTGCCAGCTTGGGGGCCTGCACCAACCGCCAGTCTCGAACCCGCCACCGTGCCCGGACCTTGCTTGACGGATCGCACCTCCACTGCCTTGGAAAAACGTGTCGGAAGAACCGAAGAGACCTGGAGCTTAAGAGGTTGACATGCGGAAAAAAAAGGCAAACCTCTCTGAGTTTTGGTATGTTCAGCTCATTTTCCAACTTGTCCTTTTCTCTCGCAGTGTATTACCCCCTTCGTTCTTGTTCAATCTCTTACCCTTGCAACAAGTTTCAACCGAAATTCCCTGAGGGTCCAAACCTTTTCACCGCCTCCGTGTGTCGCGCGCGCGCGCGCCGCGTGCGTCAGGCCTCGCAGGGGCCCTGCCGTGCGGTGTCCGCGGACCAGCGCGCGCAGGCGCGGCCGCCCGACAGGTCTGAGGCCTAAGGGGCGGCATGGAGGTGGTTTTTTGCTTCTTGTAGACTGGGTGATTCAAGGATGTAAAGAAAATCATTAATTATGTTGTAACACACTCATGCACTCACAGGGTCGGATGCTCGATTGGTTGATTTCCCAAAATGGGATGAAAATGGGTGCATTTAGCACTTGGCAGGCTCCATTGGCGGAGACCAGGAACATATCATGCTTCGGACCACAGTGGACCATATTGGACCGTTGTTGCACGGCCACAGGCTACCCACACCACAGCCGTAAAGGATGCTTTCCTGTGGGCAAGCTTGTTCGTTCTCTGGACATGTCCTTTGTCAGACGTGAGACAATTCAACTGGGGAGTTCATCGCATTCATCGTCGAAAAACATGCTCAAGAGCAGTGTCCAAGGAAACCCCGAGGGCACCATGACTCAGGCAGTTTCCTCCAACACCCCTGCGAAGGCTGAGGCTTTGCACCATGTCTCTAAGTAGCTCTGAAGCCTCAGACTCGTGGGACTGGACCTCTGAGTAGCTCAGGCAAATCCCTGGTCACCCTGGTCCAACCTACTAGCGATGGCCTCCAACCTAATAGCTTCTAATGGAGCAAACGTCAGATCCAGCGGATCATGCGCTTTCTTTATGTGATCGTCGTGCCCAAACATTTTGGAACTGCATTTTTTTGTGACTCGTGAGGGGCCAGTAACCACTGGAAGAACCCTTCATACGATTCATGAGGATGGACCCTCCATCTCTTCTCAGGCACCCCTTGGTGAACTTGAAGGTTTTCCTTTGTTCCCATATAGCATGTATTGAACACATGTTTGTACAAATAAGGCACATTCAAGCCATCAAGTGGGTCGGTGTGCATGGCTCACAGAGCGACCTTCTTTCGGGCTGGATCAAAGGCAAATAACCCTCTCAGACTTTTCAATCTGTGAAGAGGGCAGTAGAGGGCAGTAGCGGGCTACTTGACACGCCAGGCTGAATTGATATGAACACAAAGGATAAGCATAATAACACAGCATGTTTATCCTGTAGGGTACTCATCAAAGGGATACTCTTGGTTCTTGGAATGGTTTGGAATGCTTTGGAAATTAAAGTAACTAACTAGGTCAAACCAAATCGGCTAAAGAGTCTCCCTGTTGATGAGAGAAAGAACACAGCAATTTGCCGGGGACTTTCATGTCGAAGTTCCAAACACATTTGGCCCTGAGCTGCCATTCCAACGAAAGGAGCTGAGAGATATTTTGTTGGAGAATCTCTTAGTCTTTTTGCATCTGTTCGCTTCGAAAAAGATCCTTCTAGAATCGAACCTTCCCAATCAGCTTACCGGAGCAACAATCCGGTCACTGCAGTGAATGGAGGGAATGAACGTAACAGGTCAAGGGATGTCAATCTCAGTTGCAGCCTAGTAGCCCTAGTAATGAGCTTGTTTTCTTCTTCTTTCTTTCTTCGCACTCACTTCGATCTTGCTGGCCGTCAAGTCTTGCCCAGTACTAGGACCAACACTTGGTCCTTGCCCACCAGCGCTTCCAGCCTGATGCTTCCAAAGCAGGGTCGAAACGGAGAAAGCAAGGGGGTCAAAGCAGTGCCCCTCCCTCGCAAAAGTCGAATCCACCAGGGGGAGATTTGTATGTCAACCTGTTTAGAAAAGTATACAGCAAAAACACTGTAAACTGAAATAAGGAGGAACGCACAATCTATTGTCAGCAACGAACAATTGCAAGGCTTGCAAGGACTTTCTTTTTCCCCTAAGCGAAGATTTCACTCTGATGCTGTCGTTGTACGTCGTAGTGCAATGGCAGCAGGGCTCTACCAAAAGTCATGTGGTGTACGGTGTACGGCTTTCCTCGAGGAACAACAAACTGAAAGGATGTCCAAACGAATCTTGGCATGCCAAGAACCCTGGTGACAAGAATATTTGACAAGTTCGCCGACACAAAGGTGCACGAGTACGACTTTGGCAGCTCAAGAGTCAAGAACTAACAGTGCAAAAAGTACCGGAACCCACGAACGTTGACTAGAGATCCCTTTGGACTCTAGCTGGAACTCTATGATCCGTATGCCAATGGCTTTGCCCCGGACTTGGGGTTCAGCAAGTTGAAGCACACAAACATAGGTGCCCCCTCAGCTGGCGGCATGGCGCATTGATCCCAGAAGCACAGGCGAGTGCTCACCGCGGAGCACAGTTTGCCACCTTCCATGGGCATGGCCAACTTGGTTCCACCCTTGATGCACAGCTCCTTGGTCTGCACAGCGAAGAACGGACGGCCATTGGCTTGAGGGGCAGAGAATCCCAGACCCATGCAGAAGATGTAGTAGAGCCAGAAGGTGTCACCAAAGTTCGTGCTCCAGTCGAAGAGTTGCTGTCCACTCCAACCATCATCACCCGCAAGCTTTTTGTTGAAGCAAACACAAATGGGTGAGCCAGGAGCTGGTGGAAGGGAGCACTGATCCGTGAGGCACAAGCAAACACGCATGTTGGAGCAGAAGGGATCACCAATGTCCGTCATCTCACCTGTTCATTGTGAGGCAAGTGGGTCATGCGACGTATTGTTTCTTGAGAACAAGAAGGAAACAAGCAAAGGCCAAAGAAACAAGAAATGCATTCACCAATCAGCCGAGGCACATTTGGAGTGGAGGCAAATGTTGACAGCCTCCCCACCAAAGAACGGATTTCCCACTGCACCGATGCCAACACCTTCACAGAAGCAATAGTTCAACCACCACAGCTCGTTAAACATCTTGTCCCGGTCGAGGTTGGGAGAAATATCGGACTTCGCGATATCAGGCATTGTGGGCCGGCTCCAAGTCAAGAAGATAGGAAACTGACAAGTCCTTTCTTGAGGCTTGTATCTGCAATCGTGGATTCTCGCACGGCAGTTTGTGGCCACCAGGTTTAGCTATTGTTGGTGTGTGGCATGCTCCTATGTGCAAACAAGCTAATGGATGCGTATTGACTGGCATAATCTGGTGTGGAAGCATCTCCATATCATATATAGGGCTGCTTGTGTTTGCAGTGCAGTTTTGCCGATTACACTGAACTAGATTCCATTTACTCCCAAAAACCCCGAACTTGAAAAGCTTGGTGTCCAAAAGGATCCAAAAGGCTGAGCTTCTGACAATGCCGAGGGTGCATCAACCTGACGTTCCCGGCGGCCCAGCGGGCGGCTGGACAGCTGGACTGCACCGTCTACCCGTCTGACCGACGGTGCAGCGGTTGGTGGAAACCAGCGAGAAACCGAGGAGCGAGGTGATGCGTCGGTGTTGACACCGATGTTCAAAGGGGGAGGTATAGGCCCTCGGACCGCCTCCGGCCCTGTCCGGCGTCCACTTCACACACTTCGTCTGTCCTCTCCTCTCGAAGCGAATTGCTCAGCAAGGATTGTACCAGGGCCGCAGACAAAGCCTAGGTTTCTTCACTGAAAAAGAGCCGCAATCCACCGGTGGGACCGGGGTGGAGGCCGTCAAGACTGAAATGGAATCATCAGATTCAACTGATTAAACACCAAACCCTTAACACCCACGAGGTCAACAAGGTGAACATATCTCCTGAATAGTCTGCAACCCCCCCCTGAATAACATATTGATGAGTAAAGCTGGACCAAATTGATCGGGCTATAGTCAAAATACGATGTATCCAGGTAGATTGACTTTTATACGTCATTGGATGTCCTGAGAAGAAGAGCTTGTGAACGACTCCTGAAACTCTTACGACGCAAAGCCCCTAAACATCACTAAACAGTTGCTTACTCAGAACAAGACTTCTCAGGCGATGACTTCGACAACTGTCATGAACCTGAAGGGATCCTATAGTATTCAAAGCTTGATCCTATTGAAATCGTAGTTTATCGTACTGTAGTTCATTAGATTGTATTATCAAAGCCCCCACACACACACACACACACACACACACACGTCGCTTTCAATTCACACCCCTCCACGTCCAAGCTTTCCCCAAAGTCGGGCACCTAATCTGAGCTCCCCTGACACGGAAGGGCCTTGGATGCCCTGCCTGAATCACACCGTCTGTGGCCATGAGTGGTTTGATGATAACTATATTGGAATGGCCTCCAGCCTAACAGAGATGGCCTCCAACCTAGTAGCGATGGCCTCCAAACTAATAACGATGGCCTCCAACCTAGTAGCGATGGCCTCCAACCTACGCCTCCAACCTAATAGCGATGACCTCCAACCCAATAGCAAACTTTATGGGGTTGTTTGATGATAGCTAATTGGAAGCCCTCTGCCCAGTCTGAGAATAGACCACAGGAGACTCCAGGGAACTCTTGGCATGGAAAGGACACCTGGACCTCAAATGATGTAAATAAAGACGCAAAAGAAACGCTCTTGGTTGCTGGTTGCGGGTCTGCGATGTTTTTCAATCAAATCAAGAGTGCAGTAGCGGTTCATAACGGTACTATCGATGACGAGGCTAGTGTCTGGATGGAATTGCTGCATGACGGATCATCTACCTGGAACCCGTGTCCAAAGCAAGACTGATGTGTGCATTTGCCTTAATGTCTGGGACCCACACTGGAAGAGGCTTCGATCCCTAGCCTAGTGTGCTGTGAGAAATCCCACCTCAGGAATGTCCAGGACGTTTTGGCTGACTCTTGCACAACAATCCAAATGTCAACAAACAAGCGCTGCTGCATCACTGCAGGGTAAGAGAAAATGCAAACTGAAAACTGAAAACGTAATCCCCAACATCGGAAGATCCATTGTACACTGTGTCATTGTCATTGTATCTCTATTTCAGTGTCACTGTCATTCAAACTGGCCCATGTGGTCACGACATGTCACGACCTGTTGACGCGCCTCCCAGGAGGCCACCAGCATATTGCCTCTGCGCAAGAGGCGCGCCAAGGTCAATGATGCAGACATCTTGGCCTGGCGATCTGGCGGAGCAGACATCTTGGCCTCCAGCGTGTGTCAAAGATGCGTCCTTGTTCCTAGTAGCGAACCTTGTCACTACTAGTAAGGCACTTGTTACTAGAAGCGATGCACTTGTTCCTAGTAGCGATGCCAGGAGCCCCGAACGTAGCTTCTTGTTGGGTGCGAGATGGTGAGATGGATGGACTAGGAGGTTCTTTAATGCTGAATGCTTGCTTTTCAGGGTGCAGCAGGGAGTTCAGCAGGTTGTTTTTTTTGTTGTTTGAGATTCTTTTCCGGACAAGAATGGCATTCCCACAATATGTCCGTATGCCAAATTCAATTTCTGACGATCAAAAAAAATGTTGAATGTTTTGTGTGCGTGTGGGTTGTGTCTATGAAAAATTAGAATATGAGAACCGTGCGCATCTTCAGAGCAAATAAAAAACCATTGCAAAGTAGTCTTCAATTTTGACTTTTGATATTGAAATGAAGCTGCCCCTTTAGCTTTCGACAAAAGCCGGTTCAGGCTGCACAGATTCTGGACAGGTGCTATATGGTGGTATCTCGTCAAGCTGGAACCTGCATGTTTAGCCCTTTGGGTGTGAGTCAACCCCAAAACTGGGAACAGTCGTGATGGTAGCCTTGTTGACCCTTCTTTTCGAAGTATACTGACTACCAGGCTTTGAACCACCCGTATGGGTCTGTCCAATCAATTCCTTCTCGCGGAATCGGACCCTCACAGCGGTAGGCTTGCTTCGTCAAGTGCATGCGCGGAGGGTCCCAGGATTCACTGATCCAAATCTTTTCGTTTCAAGCAACTCCACCGGATCTCAACTGCCGGAGCTCTTTCAGCAAAGTCCTCAACTGACCCGTTTGGGTTCCGAATTGCGCATGCTGCCCGCCCTGCCATGCCTGGATGTCTTGCACTGGCCCGTCCATACCCGAACTCGCGAGCCAGGGTGTTGGAGCAGAACATGGAAATGTTCCCAAAAAGTTCACGGGGGGCATCGTAGCTGTACTCCCTGCACCCATGGCTACTAGTAGCTCCTGGCATTACTACTAGTAGCAAGAAGCTAGTAGGTTGGAGGGGGAGGCCATTGCTATTAAGGGGGGGGGGGGGGGGCATTGCTATTAGGTTCCTTTTGCTATTAGGAAACTGCTGTCTTGGAACAGAGGGGCTCGTGCCCTCTAAAGTACTCCTCAGGAGTCGTGTCCAAAACCAAGTCACTGGGATCAATCAGAAAAATGACTTGCAGATCAAAGGAAGGCCTAATGTCCTCTACTACTAAGCTACTAAGCTATTAGCTCTTACTAGCTACAAAACATGTTCCGGTGGAACATGCTAGGGCTACTTGACTTCATACAGGTTTCTCTTTTTGGACGATGAATATTGGCAAAGTGATTGTACTTCGTGTAGTCCGACGTGTAGTCGCGGATGTGCTCTATGGGGGTCCACGCCGTGAACCTGTGAAAGATGCCTACGAGATCCCTTGATACGCAGGCCATGTGGTTCTGTATAAAAGACTAGTAGACCTTGTGAATGTACCAAACGCTGCCTCTATAGCCTATGTTTCACTCACTGCCTTTTGTATACGTACACCTCTCTACCAAGAACGACCACAGCCAGTTCCCAATTTTGGTCGCCGAATGGTCAGGCCGCAGAGGTGAAAAGGAAGACATGGGAAAAGCTTCAAGCCTTGAACGGCCCTGAATTCCTGTATCTAAGCGTCCTCTCAGAGTCGTCTGAAGAAGACCCCGAGAGGAGTGTAGGCACAAAAGTCAGGTGCCCAGAGATTCGGGTGCCCCCTGGTCGACCTTTGAATTCGTGTCACATGCTGAAACTGATTTCTTCTAGGTCTCCGTCCTCAACTTCGCGCTCAGACTCGCCTTAGTCAATTTCTAAACAAAAGCTGTGGAGCGGCACTGGGTGGCACCAGCCACAAATCCCGCCACTACAACTGCACAACATGTTCCTTCAACCTTTCGAACACCCGTCATTGTTTGGTGTTTTTGTGTTGGAGCAGTCCCAAGCCTACTACCTTCCTCATCACTGGTGTGGACAAGGAGGAAGCAGCAGGGCTAGGAGGACCGCTGGAATAATTAGCTTGCCGAAAGCTACCAGCATTGGACGGAGAACGGTGCCTGGAAGACTGGCAAGCTTAAGGAATATCCGGAAGCGCTGTGCAACTACTTTGCAGCGCTATTCTCTCTTTGGCTGGCCAAGTGTGCCAGCTGCAGGACCAGACGCTTCGATGAGACAAACGAATGGTTAAAGGACCTGATTGTCGAAGAAGACGAATCGGTCCAAATGTGTGGTCCTGATGTTGCCTTTTGATTCGCCGAATTTACCGCTATGTGCTGCGCTTCACTGCACTGTGCGAATCGAAAGAGTCAAAAGAGTCGAACGTTGAGTCACAGTCAGCCGACTCGTGCGGATGTGGCTGGGCAAACTGATGAGCCAGCGAGTGTGTGGCGCAATGAACTTGTTCGAGCCTGGTGAGTTGTAAAAGACCGCATGCATCACCCCCAGGATGATCACATAAGCCACACCTAACAGGAGTGAATGAGGCAAAATGTCTCAGTGCGCTAAACGAATAGTTTTGCGACTCCCGGAAAAAGAAGAAACAGTTTATTCAAGAGTTCCTGAATATAAGGCAGAAACGATGAAACTAGATGACGCATGCAGGCAGCTGCCTTGGGGTTTGGAACACCAGCCTTTCACACACACACATTGTAGACCAACAATAACTATGACCAGATTATGCCATCTATTCTTCCTTCTTATTATGACAATGATGTCTTGCGGGGGGGGTCCCGATCGCCAGGCTGTCATTTTCGCTTAGCAGCGTAGCACCGGATCCACTCTCTGCCTCTTTGCAAACATGCAAGTTGCGTGCATAGGTGAAGGACTAACAGTCAATCCTCCACTCCCGATTTTGGGAGCTTCTCATAGAACGATCTTCAGTTTTCGACCCTTTGC